GGGGGGGGGGGGGGGGGGGGGGGGCGAAGGGGACGGGGTTGGTTAAGGTTCGGACAAGTTTGAGATGTACCTAGGGCGAAGAGTAAGCGCACGCGTGTGCTCATGGAGGTAATGGGGCTCCGACTATTGTTGTGGCATCCCCGAGCTATCGGTTTCCCTTACATTGGCAACCACGGACAACAGTCCCTGAAAACGTCTGTCGTAAGGCCTTGGCGGTTGCCTTTCTTTCCACAGCTTCGATTCAACATTCACAGAATCATGAAAGAGATACTCGTAGAAGAACAGCCCACCACATGTCGTGCCACCATTCGGTGTAGGTGAAACCATGGTCGCCGATGGCATGCTGGCACTGGTTGTGGCAAAGGAAAATGACATTGGACTCACTTCCAGCTCCTCAAGTTGGTCCGGACGAGCAGCCTTACTAGCCGCCCCAGTTCCGTGTTCGACTTGCTTTCCGAACCGAACGGCATTTGCGGTTGTCAACCTTTCGGCGGAGGGAGCCCCTCCCTCAAAGGACGTGCCGGAATGGTCATCGCGTACAATCAATCTCGAGTCTTCCGTCTTTTCGAGGGATGGTTCTTTATGGACGTCAGGTTTCGCCGTGCGGAGGGGCCAGGGAGCACCTGGGACACTGCAAGTTACGGCCGATGTTCGGCAGGCATGGATGCGGCAGGTGTTGCTATTGCTACTGCTGCTGCTGCTGCAGCTGCTTCGTGGTTGCTGCTGCTGCAGTGGTGGCTGTTAGCAGCTGACCATGATGTTGTGCTTGTTCGTAACAAGAACTGTGTTTTACGTGTGAAATGTAGACAATCGAATGACCGCGTCTGTAGCCTTCTGTCTGACGCCAATGCGCCGTCCGTTTCGACGTGCACACCTTTTCCTGCGGAAGAATCAAGTTCAAAACTCGATCCGGAATGATGTGGTTGTATACGATATGCGGTGGATGTATCTCGCAAATAAGATTTACCTCAATGCTTGGGTCGCGAAGCACATTAGGCAATTTTCAAACCGCGTAGGCTTTGCTACATACCGCCTGGCACCATTTTTCTGCGACTTATGACTCGAAGTTTCCAACCTCCTGCACTGCAGACCAAGTGAGGCTGAATGTTTGGTGTTGTGAAATACCGTACCTTTCCCTTCCGGGCGTTCGCGAGGCCGCGATCGCTCCTGCCCTGTGCGCGATGTCGCGCACCGCCGACATCGAATCTCTCGCCATCTGCGCCAGAGGCCCCGTTCTCCGTGTGGACGCCTGCGAGTTTCGTTGAGGATTGGGGTGTCTACGCTTGCGATGGGTGACGCGCAAACCAGCAGCAAGCCTCTCACCACATTCATTCCGACGTGACGAAAAAGGGGATGTTCTTTTTGGACGATTGTTGTTGGCGAACATGCTCCCTGCCTCGACGCATCGGACGAATCGCGGGGCATTGGTGAACATCAACCCGACTCACCTCGCCGCCCGCCCCGACCTCGCTTTCGACACCAGCAACGCGAGTCACCGGCGGGCTTCTCGTCGGCAGACCCCCCAGGTTCAAGGCGCCGACACGATTATTCCTTGCTTTTTCCGCAGTGGGCACTGGCACCGCGCTCTCAACGTTCAAGTGCACAGCGGTCGGTCCATGATTGAGCGAGGACGGGCCGAGCACACGACCGTCTCCGACTCCCAGGTCTGCGGCGGCTCTGAAAGTGCCGATCGGGTGGAGAGGGGAAGTTGCCAGAATTAGGGGCGCACCGATGATGCCGTGCTAGTGGCGTACGGCGGATGGGTTGTATCGCAGGATTTTTTTTTCTGTGGATTTGAAGCATGTTGCTCATGAAAACTGTTTTTGCTGGAGAGCATAAGGACCTCAGGGTGTCACCCGCGGCTGTAGATAAAGCTTGAGGGGTTCCTCTATCCCGCGAGCATCGTGAGCCTGATGACGCCACAGCTGTTGGTCCGCGGTGTTCCATAGTTTCCTCAGATTTGATCTTCCCGTTCTTACAAACGTTTGCCCTTGAACTATGAATGAGCGGCTGTTTGCCCAGGGGTGACAGGGAAGCATGAGCGATCTACTGTAGACCAATAGTACCATCATCACATGCTATATTCTGTAGTTTTCGTTGCAAATATCCTCTGAAAAATGTCAAGATTGCTGTCCAGGTGATTGTATTCGGTCTGACTTTGCTGGGGTTTTGTTTCTCCACCAAAGCGACAGCAAAATGCTGCAGCATACTTGGAGAGTTGCCACATGCAGTAGATGTACTACAGAGAGTGTGGTGCAACGATCAGCGAATCCGACCCTCGTGGAATACCTCACATTTCGAGTGTTTGCTTACCCTAGTGGTGCCCCCACCGCCGTCATCAGGAGCACCGTCGAAAGAACCAGCCCGGCGATGTCCGTCTTTCCGTTTCCAAACTCTCGGAGCCACCCGAACCCTACTCCTTGTTCTCCAAAAGTATCCCTGCTGGCATAAACATCGTCACCAATCCCTGCTGGTACGCCCCCATAGTGGTGCTGTTGCTGCTGACCTGGCGCGTCAAGGTTGTGTATGTCGTCCCCGCCACCTGCACGGTCATCATCGACAGCGTAGTTGTTGCCATGCATGGCGTGACACCGCGTCCTCGGCACTGGGGTGGCAAGGACAGCTTCAGGCAAAGGAACCGGTCTGATCCTCTTTGGGAGTGAAGTCATGTGGGATTTTGACGGTCTTGGACTCAAGGGAGGTGGTGTGGACGACGTCGGCAGGGTATCCGTACGACGATGATTCGTTCGGCTCCACACGATTTCCGAGACGGCAGCGCTCGGACGGAATGCCACGAACGCGTCTACGACCGTGATAGAAGTACACCGAAGGAGCACAAGCAGCTGGAGGGCGGCATTAAGGGATGCTACCGCACTGAACTTGAACGCAAGGGGCATGTTGGCATGCTCCTCGGTCCTCTCTAGTCCGACGTGTATTTGAGAGAACAGAGCGAGCCTCGAGAGCGAACACCGGTGCAAACGTTGCTGCGATAGCAGCAGCGAAGATCCAGCAATATTTTGAGATCCCTTATGTAGCCGAGAGACGCAAGAGGACCGCCGTTCGTGCGTATGTAATGTTTTGTTTGAAGATCGTGGGCAATTTTGAACGTCGCATGTCTTGCGTCTTGCCGCACCTGCTGTCGATCGACGGCGAACTATGTCACATGTGCCGGACGGTTACGCCACATTGTGCGGCGGAATCAACAACGATCGACATGATTTCGCGTCACCTCCTCCATCTCTCGGCAAGGCTTTGAATCCGCGTGTGCCCTGCATACCAGCAGTTGGCTGTTGCAGCAGCAAGCGGGAGCTCCCCGACCGCAACAGCGGGCTGTCAGGCGCAGCTGCAAAGCCATACGGCTGCGGACTCCGCGAGCTGCCAATTATTTGGCCCAATTTCCGAGAGAACTTGGAGCACATGTCGCCCGTGAAGCATGGCAGGGGGACGAAGTGGGGAAAACTGACATTGGTCGAGAATCCCACCAAGCCCGTGACCCAAGGTTTTAAGGGGCCTGTCTGCGACAAGGTGCCTCGGATCATCAACCTTCAAGGGAAGGTGAGATTTTCCTCGCTGGTGGTGGTGGTGCTGCTGCGTTGGCGTTGATAGAAACAGATTGCGGCTTTGGCCCCTTCGAAAGCGGCAGGATGGCAAGAGCGAATTCGCACATGCTGAAATTAGACTACATTTATATACACACAGCAAACATGGAGCAGCTTGTTGCTTCTGCGTTCACCTGGCCTGAATCTCATGTCATGACTCGTTTGCACCTGGTGCATACGAGTTGGAGGCTCTTGATGAGAATAGCCAAGATGTTCCCAGATCTGAGCGCTGTTACTTGGCTGCTACAGCGAGCAACAGCCATCTCGCTCTCGTTCCTGACGCGGCCAAACACCAGTTGTTTTTGAATTCGGTGTTTGGAGTTTGAAAGGACCACCGCTGGGCGCAGGGCGCTGATAAGCTGCTGAGATCGTACTGTTGTGTTTCTCATCTCATCCGGCCGGATGTGCTGCTCGCACCTGGTTGTACTTTTCAAATTCGACGTTGCAGCAGTTTTATCCACCCAGGGACGACTTTCACCCTCATGTTTTTACCTCGTGCAGATGATACAGCGGTAGGTGAGAGTCCAGGATTGTGTTGATGGAATCATTAATGTGTCACATGACCAACTACCTGTCAATGTCTCGCTTGTATGATGGAAGATATGCGGGACTTGGAGTCGAGTCTCCAGAAACAATACACCTCTACTTTGTCCGTCTGTAACGTCCATCGTCAGAGGGACACACCCCTCCGACCAAACTCATCGAAGTATGACCCTCTTTGCTGTCCCGAGAGAAGGAGCTTTCATGACTCGATGGTCGATTGCTGTCCGCCCTGGCCTCCCTCGTCTCACCCCCTTTCTTCCTTCAACCTCTCTCTCGCTCTCTCTGGTCTCACCAGAACCCTGTCCTACTGTCCACGTTGTTCTTCACTTCCTTCGCCGCCGCTCATCGTGAGGACGCCTTGCTTTTGGCAACAGTAGAGAGTTCCTTATCGCTCTCCATCGGCTGTCTATATCCCTGATTCGCTGGCCGTCAGGAGCAGCAATTAGAACATGTGGCGAAGCGCGCGTTTGTCTAGATGGAAGAACGTAAGAGTTGCGGCGACGAGGCCAGCGCAGCCGCCGATGGACAATGTAGAAGACCACCCACCGTGGACCGACAGAAGATACCGTCCCCCCGGGACCGAATTGTAAAGCTCGATTGCTCCAAGTCGAACATGGGCAAACCAAACCACTCGTTTTGGTGCTGCTCTCGAGATCACGGCCGAGTTGCGGGAAGTTTTTCAGCATGCTTTCACGCATGGGAAGTTGGAGATGGCGGGGATGGTGCACACATCTCGGCGTCGGAAGACGCCCCTGGCTTTGATGTGGAAGTGGAGTGGGTCGGTGGAAAGCTCTCGACGAGAAGCATCCGATACCGCCAGTTCCGGCACCACCGCTCATTCTGGCGCATCGTTACGAAGCCTTCGAAATCGGTCTAGGGGGTATGATATCTAACGTCACGGTCTGCAAGCACGTGCGCGAGACCTTGACAACATGGTCGACCCACAGGGAACAGCAACAGCCTGCCGAATTCTCCAAGAACCGATACCGCCTTAAGGCCACGGCCGCCGCAGGCGTTGCCTTTACCCGTGAGCGAATGTCGCGGCTCATCAGCACCCACTTGGGCCGCCAGTTAGCCGAGGAAAGTGTAAGTTTTCACTGCTGCGGTACCTCCCAAAACAGCACTGTTTTCCTCACATACCAACGGGAGTGTTTGAATCGCGCGCGGGGTGTGTTGAGTCGTCGTACATACTTGGGAGATATGTGTCACGTGTCCGCTGCCGGCTCACCTTGCGCTCTCCCCGTCCCCCCTTCCGTCAATAGCGCCAATGGTTGAGGTTATCGACAACATGCTCGTCATGTCTGACTAGCCCGGTCTGCGCTTGAAGGGACTCAAGCTCAGGTCGGGCTTCCCTCATGACGATCACGTCGTTGCTGATCTCGGTTTTTCGTGTTGTTTGTGGGAAGGGGGACGGGGAGAGTGCTAGGTGAGCAGATAGCGGACAGGGGGCAGGTCGAACAAGTAAGAACGACGAGCGACTCAATGCACCCGCGATTTCCACAGTTCACCTGTCGCCCCGCAACGAAAGCACTTTTTTTGAGAGGTGCTACAACATCTTCCACAGCTAACTGGCGGTCCAGAAGGGTGTCAATGATCCGAGTCCTGCGCTCGCGGGCACGGGCGATGCCTGCGGCAGCCGTTGGCCTTCGGCGGTTGTGGTTCTCGAGCATTCATCAGCTCGTTGCCGTTCCCTGTAGGGTTGGCAACGGTCCCGCGGTACAGTGGGGGTACCCGAATAGTGTGGCGGCGGGGCAGGTGATAAAATGACCGCCTTGTATGTGGGGCGGCCGCCTTCTTCAATGTGTGTAGGACAACTCGATTGTTCCATCTATGCTAGTCAACTTCGCCCGCCTCATGTAGGGCGACCACCTTATCCGGACCGCCTTGTTCGCGGACCCCCCCTGCTATATCTGCAGAGTGCTGTAGGTGGTATTTCTTCTTCGTCGCCGTCGGTGCCGGCCGCGTTGGCGTCGCCGTGTTGTTACGGTGTCGGCGTGGATGTCCTTGTCGGTCCGTCTGTCCATGATGATGTCCATGATATTGTCCATGATAATGTCGATGATAATGTTAATGACAATTTCCATGATAATGTCCATGATATTGCGCTAAGGTTCCGCGTACGCCGTGCGTGTGTGCCCCTGTCACTCTTTGAAGGTTCTTGTGTTTCCCCCCGCGGCCGTTTCAACAGAACGCCTTGATCAGTCGATAGGTATCTCTCTGGCGCGTGTGGTTCCCCCCCGCCGCCGTCCCACAGAACACTTGTAGCAGCCGATAAATATTCAAGTCTCTCTGGCGCGTTTTCTTTTTCCGTGCCGTTTCCGCAGAACACCTACATTGGTCGCGGGAAGAAGTCGCCAATTGGGGGTGCCGCCCAGACGACGATCGACCTCGGCTACATCAGCAGCGGGCATTGCTGCTTCTCTCTCAGGAGGAAAGACGGCGGCGGAATAGAGGCGGTCGTCAAGGACACGTCGAGGTACAAGCGCGCGCGGGTGCAATGCCGTGCATCTGCTTAATGTGATTCACCCGCGTGCCGTGGGTGGTCTGATCAGTTTTGGCTGACGATGACCCCCGCTCCTACGCTGTGTCTCCGAGCGATAGGAAAGCGATAGCAATATCGGCACCAAGGAGGCGAGCATGGTCTCTCTGCCGTGTGCCCGTGCGTCGTAATACTTCATGGTCGACATCGCCAGGGGACCCCGATTGCCGATTTGTCCAAAACGTCGTGGGCGTTTTGTTGAGAAGCATGCACGACAAGACGGAAACAATGAGCGACGTCACGCCCCTCCTGTGCTGCGATTCTTTCTCCTTAACATCTCCGGAGGCCCCTCAATGTCGTAGCAGTTCTGCCTCTGGCGCGCTTTGCATTTTTGTGCCCTTGCTGCACTTCTCGACAGCTCCCCCCCGTTTGGCCATGTGTACACGTGCCGGCCAGGTTGTCTCAAACCCTACCCCCCCCATCACCCTGTTCTCTGCACCCAACTCTCGCGACCTCGTTCATTGCCTTTGCCTCGCGGGCAGCAATGGCACATACGTGGACGCCGTCCGCGTGCCTAAGGGGACTACCAGGGCCTTGACTACGGACAACCAGGTGGCGCTGTATTACCCCATGGGCGCGACCGCCCTCGGGCGTCCCATCCTCTACAACCTCGAGCTCTACGAGCAGGAGTTCGAGAATGTAAGGCGGTGATGTTACGGCAGCAAAGGTTTTTCGTTTACGAGTGATAACATGTTGGAAAAAGCATGCAATTGGGAAAGTTGGGTTAGGGTTAGGTCTGCGAACCCCGTCCCTGTTGTTTTTCGTCGAGAAACTGTATTTCTCGCGAAGACGGTTCTACAGCAGGAGCAGGTTCGAGCAGAGTTGGAGAATGTAAGGTGGTGGGTTACAGGGGCGGGTTTGGTAAGAATAAGGGGCCAGACCATGACCGGGGTTCGAGAGGGTAGGAAGCGCGCAGCCCGTGTTTTTTGTTGCCTTTTTATTATTTCCCGATCCTTTTGGTTTTACACCATATGGTGTTTTGAGATGGTATTGATTGTGAGATATCAACTCCCTCTCCGTTGGTGCTCTCGTTTTTTTTTTTTTTGTCGCTAGGCTATCAAAGAAGGGGTCGGTGCTCCGTCCGGCAAGGCGAAGCGATCGAAGTCATCCGAGAAGATCACCAGCAATCCCAATACCACCTACAACAACGCCAGCAACGGCAGCATAAGTAACACCAACGCCAACGCCCAGGGCAGCAGCGGCAGCGGCACCAGCAGCAATTCCCCCGTGGATCTAGGTGGCGCTGCCAAGTCGATGAATCCCCCCGCGACTATGGCGAAGCCGGGCATGCCAACTCAACAGCAGCAGCAGCAGCATAAGGGAAAGGCGACGGCCGTCCCTACTCTGGGGCCTACGTCTACCCCCGCCCCGGGCGGCAACGAGTGGCTGGATAGCCAGGTGCGGGTGGGGCGGTTGAGCACTGCGGCGTTTGGTTGTGTTGGTTCCGAGGGGGTGGATGAGAGACAATGACAGAGAGGGAGAGAGAGAGAGAGAGAGAGAGAGAGAGAGAGAGAGAGAGAGAGCGAGAGAGAGACAAGCAGGGAGAGAGACGGAGTGGGAGAGGGGGGAATGTTTGTTATTTTTGTGTTTGTGGGTCGTTGGCGTAGTTGCTTCTACTGCCTCTGTCTTGGTCTGCTTTTGGGCTGTCACTGGTTCTACTGTGAATCTGAGGTTGCGCCTGCGAATGTATCATCACTACCCCCGCCCCCCCGCCCGGTGTTTGCCATCGGGGTTGGGTTTTCGTCGCTTGGCAACGACGTTGTAAAACAAGCCCGTTCACTTCGTGAACTCGGCAACCAGGTTACCTTTTTTTTTTACCTCTGTTTTTTTTGGCGGTATCCATAATGGTGGTCGAGTAGATCATGTGGTGCGGGGTGGAGAACCCTCACTCCGCGCAACGGGGATGATCGCACCACGTTGTGTTAAAATGGTCAAGCACCCTCGAAGCAGTTACACAGTGCTTACAACTGTCTCTGGAAGTGAAGCACCAGAAATCAAATTTAGTCATACGCAGCTGTCATCCGTATGCAAGTAAGTACGCACAAGATGCCGAAAACCCTTAGCAGGATGCAGCGCACCCTTCATGCGACTCGCCGAATATCTCACGGCGCTTCGCGCTTGGTGATGTGAGAGCCTGGTCCGGTGAGAACCCGGCGTGCTCCGTCCCGG